AGTTCTGGGCCCCCCATTACAGAAAGGACGTGGACACATTGGAGAAAGTCTAGCGGTGGGCAACAAAAATGATGAGGGGGCTGGAGCACATGATTATGAGGAGAGGCTGATGGATTTTGCTTAGTCTACAGAAGAGTGGGGGGGAGGGATTTGATAGCAGCCTTCAACTGCCCGAAGGGGGCTCCAAAGGGGCTAGAGAGAGGTTGCTCTCCGTGCTGGGAGATGACAGAACGAGGAGAAATGGGCTCAAGTTGCAGTGGGGGAGGTCTAGGATGGATATTAGGAAAAACGATTTCCCTACGAGGGTGGTGAAGCACTGGGATGGGTTCCCTAGGGAGGGGGTGGAATCTCCATCCCTAGAGGTTTTGAAGTCCCGGCTTGACCAAGCCCTGGCTGGGATGATGGAGTTGGGGTGGGTCCTGCTTTGGGCAGCTGATTGGACTCGATGACTCCTGAGGTCTCTGCCAGCCCTAGGATTCTGTGCCCTACATCAGTGCCTAATCCCTGCTAAACCAGGGACATCTCTCTCACCAGAGTCCCAGAGGAGGGCTGCCTTGAACCTCTAGGTTAGGTTCTGTGGGGCTTGAGTTAGGAAAACCCTGTGGAGGTTGTGTAGCCACATGGAATGTAGAACTCCAGTGAAGGCAGAGATGAGGCTGCAGATGTTACGTTCATGTTACGTGTCCCTGCCCGCTGGAATGCTTCTATCGTGAACGAAATAGTTCTCTGTGGTGTGGCTGACCTGGAGGGCCCTGTGGATTGTGCACGTCGCTGTGTTGGGCTTTGCGATGGTGGTATGCAAGGGTGGACGGATGCCGTTGGCAGAACTCCCCACAGGTGCTCGCCATAGCTCAGTGACAGCTGGGGAAGGAGGCCAGCGGCACACCACATTTTTCTAAAGGGGGCACACATCCCTTAGCCTCCTGTGCCTCAGTTTCCCTTCTGTGACTTGTGGACAGTAACACTGCCTCGCCTCACAGGTGCTGCATTATAGTCTGTCAGGTGCTCAGCTATTATGGTGCTCGGAGGCAGAGAAGATAAATTTGTCCTAAAGTGAGGACTGGCTGTGGCGGATTTTAGTGTTGTAACAATTTCAACACCCCATGCTCCCTTTATCGCTGCCTGTCACGCTGACTAGTACTGTCTCATTGTTACCTTGCCTTTCCAAGCTGTCTGTCTCTGGTCTCATACTTACACTGTAAGATCTCTGGGAGCTTTTCATCGGTGTCTGTACCGTACCTTACAGTGTTCCCTGTAAGCTGTCCAGCCACTCAGGAGAGATTGAAATGCCATCCACCTGAATAGCAGAGCAACCACAACTAGGCTGATTGTTTCCAGAGGTGGTGCACATCCGCACATGCTTCAGTGCACATAAAACTTATTCCACACATGGATGGAAAAAATCTGCACATGGCTGGAAATGATTAGAGGGAATATAGGGTCTGTGCCAGGGGCTCTTAGGTGCTACAGTAATATAAATAGTCATAATGATGGCTGAACTTGAGGGGAAGGCATGGTAATATTTTTCTCTAAAAACAGCAGAGATCTGTGATTTCAATGTCAAATGGCTTTTTTTAAGGAATCATCAATTCACTGGCTTGCTTGGTCATTTTGCCTGAAAAAATCTTGTTTCTGTTCAGTGTATTCCTGTACTCTGATTCAATCCAGAGTAACACGCATACAATTTTTTCCCCACATTTCTTCTCTGCATTTGTATTTGTCCTTCAGCTGTATACTTTGCAAAATCAATGGGGGCTCTTTAGCATCCTAAAATACGGTTTATAAAACTCAGAATCTGTGAATTTTCTCCTTTCAAAAATGCAAAACACACACACAAGTGAGAAAGGAAAACTGGCTCTCTAAAATAGTTTTATATATAGTCAAATCATTATGCACTTCTTCTCTCCTTTCAGACATTTGCTGCATTATTATGTACTGTCCTGATTAAATCATCAAATTAAATTATCAGATCAAATGTTCTTGATTCCATTGTGTCCTGAACAGGTTTGGTTAAATTAGCAAACCATATGTTTCATTTTATAAACAAAGGGGCAGGAGGAAATCCTGTTTTGTTCATTCATCAATCCTGAAACCCTTAAAATAGATGCTGAATTAGAACACGCTAGTTAATATGTAATCATAACACATTCTTCCCTTGTGCCTCAGAATAATTGAAACAAAGTCCTATTAAATCACAAACTTCTTTACTGTGAAATGGCAGCATTGTGAATTCAGTATCCTTTGAGCATGCCAGGGGTCTGGATTTCCCACCATTTGAGAGCTCCGAACTAGCAGAGTACTTTAGCACCTGTGGGTGAGATCAGGGAGGGCGTCAGAGTGAGGAAAGTCATGCACTGCGCTTACCCGGCTCCTCGTGGAACGAGGTGTACCGGTAGATTGAATTAGAGATCCTAATTCAAACTACCTTCTCTGTGCCGCATGTAGCCGCGGGCACGGAGTTCAGACTAAGGGACATTTAAAAATGGCGGCGCCCGGGAAGATGCAAATGATATTTAAATCCCGGGCTTCATTTGCAACTTCGAATGCCTACATTAGCCTCCCTAGTTCGAACTGGGGGCTAGTGTAAACATATCCTTAGGGTTTACTGAGGTGCGTATTCCGCGTGAGAGTTTCCGTGGAAATTGGTGAACATAGAGCGACAGACCATAGAACTGACTATCCCCACACTGTCGAGGCCGTCATTGTGTGGGTTAAGTTCTCTCTTGATCTCTGGATGGGAACGAGACTGTTCCCCTGGACTCTGAGGGACTCAGCCTACCGGACGTTCAAAAAACTGCACAAAGAGAATTTGAATGCATAGGCCCCCACGTAAACTAGCCCATGTTTAATACACAGAACGTGAACTTCATGCAGCCACGGGCTCACACAGGAAGGCTAGGAGAGAAGAACAGACGAGAGAGGCCAAGAAGGAGCAAGAACTGTTGCTTGGGACCAGTGGCTCAGTAGAGTCCTGCCAGGGGGTTCTGGAAGTGGCGTTTTCTTGGTAGGGGCAGAAACACCTGTATATTGTTGGCCACCTCTGTTCACAGTGATCAGGACACTGGTAAATAGGGATAGTACACTCTGCACAGCAGTTTCTACACAAACCTCTCTCTAAAAGACAACCGGATTCTGTTCCCTCCTCCTCTTAGAAAATGAGAGTGATGAATGCACCGGAGATATTGTAAAGCCCCGTACACTGGAAATACGGGCGACGCACATTTGCTGCACATGTTCATTTCTAAACCAAGGGTGTATGGTAATGCAGCAGCACGCAACTGGTAACCCACATCTGAGAACAGGCTTTTTTTCCCCCTCCTCAGTGCAGCTGTGATTCTCCAGGAGTAAAATGTGGTGTGTGTATGTGCAGGCAGCAGCATTAAGGCAGGTGTGTGGTAACTTGCTATGGAAAGGTGGGGAGGAGGAATAATATTGGTAACAATGCACAAGCTTAGTGGCACGGATGACACCCTGAGCCATTCCTGTCAGCACCGGCTGGATCCTTGGTCCCTGCTGAGTGTGTTGCGGTACCGTTGCGAGAAGTTCTTTTGTGGCTCAAGGTTATATTTGGAAAGAGGGTGTGAGAATCTGTCCTGAATTATATATTTTAATCATGGCTCTTTTAAAGCTTGGAAAAATCAGTAGCCCTTACAGCAGGAGACCAGTGTGTACTTTATAGACAGCATACGAGTGCCATCTAGTGTTCTCCATGAGGATGCCTTTCCCTTTCCATTGTCAGACAAGTATTCTCCTGAGCGGATTGTGTTCTGTGAGCGCCAGCATAGGGCAGGCACTGGGTCAGCGCCCAGACTCGGGCCTCTTCTTCCGTAGGCAGTGGAATAACTAGTCGCCCAGCTCAAGCCAGGCCATTCCTAGGGTTTGGTTTCCTCCCCGGACGTTCCCCCCTCAGATCGTAGCTCACTCTGGCCCGAGAGCAGTCTCCTGGCGTGGCCTCCAGCAGACGTCCGTCGACGGTTGCACACAATGTTCCTCACAGAAGGCGGGTAGGACGTGTGAGCCCCAAAGCCTGCTGCCCGGGTAGTTATGGACAGATGGACGTGCTCTTTTGTTTCTGTGGTATTTGAACAGGCCCACCGATGAGGAGACAGGGTCACTTGCCGTGAGGCCCGGTGATTCAAAAGGGCCGGGGCCTCCTGGCTGCCATCTCTGCTACTGCAGTGCCGGCGGGCCCTTTAAATCACAGCTGGAGCACCAGGTGGCACACTCCAGGTGACACTGAAGGGCAAGTAGGGGGATGCTAGCCCCCCTCCTTCATCCCCGCGTCTTCTACCTGAAAGTCCGCTCCTTCAGGGAGCACAAAGCTTTCCCCCCCCCCCCCCGACCTTGCTCAGGGGCCTGGCGATTCTGTCCCCACCTCCACATCTGAAATAATGTCTGTGTTTCCCTGCAAAGCAGGTGAGGAAGAATATAAAATACCCTTAGTTTATTACGCACCAGTGGGCATGAAACAGAAACCATTTAGTGTGCCAGTAATAACACTTACCTCTGATATAGGGCATCGCAGCTTCAGAGAGCTTTTGCAAACATTAGCTAATTCTCCCAGCGCCGGGCGAGGCCAGGAAGAATTATTGCTTCCATTTTATGCAGCGGGCAATTGCAATGCAGCCCAGGAAAGTTCCCCAGGGAAACGAAGACCCGAAGGTATAAAAGTGTCTGTGAGCACTTGTGGACACCCAGAGCTTTCCAGGTGCAGAGGGTGGGATGTGTTCACATGTCGGGAGTGGAGACTTTGTGCCCATTTGGGAAAGAAATAATTGAGCCTAAACAACTTGCCCAAGGCCACAGTTATAATGGGGCCTATTGTCCCTTACCTTTCCTGCGCTTGGCACGGGAAAACAACGGGAAGTGGTTTAAATGCCTGTGGGTGTAATGTAACGTAGAGAAAGGTATTACAGAGTCGAGGTACATGGGTCCAAAATCTGCAGTTATTCTCCTGCTTGGTGTGTGTCTGTCCCTCATATTTGATCCCTTTTGTTTAGTTTGCAGCACTCCCCCAGTCAACATGAAAGTGCAGCCTGTGAACAGAACAGCTTTGCTCGTAACCTGGAACCAACCCGAGATCATCTACCACCCTCCCATTATGAACTACATGATCTCCTACAGCTGGACTAAAAATGAAGACGAAAAAGAGAAAACTTTCACCAAGGACAGTGACAAGGACCTGGTAAAGCTACCGCATCCGCACATGACCTTAGTCTTAAGCTAGCCTTGCTTTGTGCTTTTCTCAGTAGAAGGTGGGGTATGAAAGCGTTTATCTTTCAATGAATGGTTAGTTTTTCAAAATTGCAATGGATGGCTTTTTGCATATTCAGTGCTAGTTGAATTCACCCAGTGTTCCTGAGTATGTCATTCCCGTGGGCTTTTGGCTTATGTTCAAGTCACTGTTTTCACAGTAAGAACTGATCATGCAAAATCTATTACTGGACCGAACCTCTCTAGTCCAGCACCCTCGGGACCTGACCAGTGCCAAACCAGAGAATTTGCTGAACCCCGGGAGATCAATATTGTCTGTTAGCATGACCAACACTTCCACTGCTTACTGGGCTCTTAGAAGACATCTAATGATAAAAGCTAAATAACAGCACAGAGAGCCAGGACTGGGAGCTGTAAATAAACTTTATGGAACCGTGGGAAAGTTGGCCACACCCATGATAAGTGGACATCCAGCTAACTCAAATCATGCCGGGCCACACGTATTCCTGGACCAGAGAGTGCCAGATTAGAGAGGTTGAAGGCTTTTGGGACTGTCCCTAGTGGTTTCAAAATCAGGGCCCAGAAGCTGAGGGTTCAGACTCTCAGGCTTAAGTAGGGGAAAAAAGGAAACGTGCCCTAGATTTCTCTGCTGATTAGATATTAGAGGGAAAGATCACCAGCTCCATTTATGATTGGATCTGTTTGTCATTCTTGTCCGAGTGAAAGCAAATACTGTACTCGTCTTTAATATCCCCTGCATATAAAATCAAAGTTATATATTCAAGATTCATAGGTCTCTGTTTATTGTTAATCAAAGGAAGCCTCTGGAATAACAAAATCAGTAATTGTATATGCACATGAAAATGCAGCGGCACAGAGAGAAATTCCTAATGACTGTCACTTTTTTTTTTTCAAATACACAGTCCTCTGGGCCCATTCAAGCAGTTATAGAATAATACTTCTTCCCTCAGATGAAGATTCTTTTACTTCATTTCCATTTATATTTTCAATTTCCCCACTAGACATTGTTATCTGGGTCACATTAGGGAGAGATGTACTTCATGAAATCAGAGAGGAATCTATTGAAAGACACTCAAGGTTAGGATGTATTATAACCTCTCTCTTGTCAAAACTTCACACGCTTAAGGGAGATTTTTTTCATCAGTAATGAGGATGGAGTACGTTAATCAGCAGAAACAATCTGGGCACAAATACAGTGTCTTATTTTTATATTAAAAAAATAACGACCTATGTAGGGAATGCAATGAAGTGGTAGCTCGAAGTGACTAGCAACAAGCCCAGCCCTGGAAAAGTGAGTTGGAGGTAAAGGATTGAGCCAGGGTTTAAGAGAGAGCAGCATGGCAGAAAAACATCCTTTGACTGTGAAATACAATGTCCATTCAAAGTGCTGTAGCATTGCAGCAGGCATTAGCCAGTCCAGTTGCTTGAGACGTTTGAAAGGAGCCCCTTGCTGATATCCAGGGCAGTTAACTTCCTCCACTGCACGGCCGAGAGAGGAGCAATCTCTGGCCAAATGGGTCGGAGGAGCACACGGAGAGTGAGGACTGGCTGGCCACCCAGGCAGCTCCGGTGCAGCATCCATGTGCATATTTGAATGCCCTTTGTAATGGTGATGGTGAGCTGGAAGTTGCTTCCCAGCCCGGAGCAGATTTTCAACGTAGAGGGGCCTCCAATCAAACCTGCGGCTTATTGCGCAATAAAGCTCCCGGCTTAGTTCCTGGGGCGGTTGGTAGCTCTCTGTCCCTGTCGGAGTTGATGGGAAACAACCTTTCCTCCCCACCACCTTTTGCGTTTTAATTTTTACAAGACCAAGTCACTTGTTGAGCGGGAAGAGCATGTATGTGTGTGTGGTCCTGAATGCAGCGTGGGTGCAGCTCTCCTCTGAGCGGAGAGCTAGTGCCAGGACTGTGCTCCACTTCGGTCTTGCTGAAGCCTAGCTGTGTATGTAATGCATGGGCCAGCGGCCACGCCTCCGCACCGGAGTTACTGTCTCCCTCGAGAGCTAGCCTTGTCCTATGTGTTCTGTGTTAGCACTGTGCGCTGTGTTGTACAACTTCATGATGGAGAGCCCTTTGGGGGGGCACATCTGAATAATATCTATTTCTTTTAAACAGAAAGCCATCATTAGCCATGTCTCACCTGACATCCTTTATCTGTTCAGAGTTCAAGCAGTTTGCCGAAATGACATGCGTAGTGACTTTAGCCAGACAATGCTTTTTCAAGGTAAAGAAAGACAAAAAAATCTGTTTAAAATGATGTGATTTTTTTTCCTCCCTTTTTTTCCTCCGATTTCTCTTGCTGACCAAAATGGGAACATGGGAAGATATTCCAGGGGGTGTCTGAGTGTTACAGCTAATTTGCAACTCTGATCAGCTGAGCAAAAGAAAGGGCTGATTGGCAGACTCTTTACAGTGGTGGGTTCTCAGCTCCTGCAATTGCTTTCCATAGCCCACTCAGTGATTCTTTGGATTGAAACCTAGATTTAATAATGTCCAGAGCATACGCAACTCCTCTGTATTAGCCCACACTTTCCCGGAGAAGGAGATGAGCGTGGTCTTGGCTTTGAGGGCTATGAGACTCTTTTGCTGATATTGTACCAATTAGTCTTTGTTTAGTTGGCTTTGAGGGCTGCGAGACTCCTTTGCTGATATTGTACCAATTAGTCTTTGTTTAATTATGATGTTTACATTTTGTGTATGAGTTTAGCACAGTGACGAGCAATAACCGGCCTGCAGGCTGGATCTGATTGGCCAGTGTTAGCCCCTGGCAAGCCGCCAGCACTGTATTTCCCTGCGCCTCTGCATATACAGGGGCTTGCAGCTCCTGTTGGCTGTGAATCGCCATTCCCAGCCAACGGGAGCTGCGGAAAGTGGTGTCCTGGTCCATGCCACTTCCCGCAGCTCCCACTGGCTGGAACGGTGGCCCTCTGTGGGCTGCAAGCTCCCATACCTGCATCAATGGACCTGCGAATCGCTGCCATCCCGTTGCCCACCCCTGGTGTAGAGCATGTTTGCCTTTAGAAATCTGAGTGACTATAAATATACGTAACCTTCTTTGGAATCAGCCTCTAGCTACCTAATTTAAAAAAATAAATCAGAGGTAGCATAGCCCTCTGACATAGATGGTAGCTGTAATTCACGTGCAGCAAGAATTGGGTCGTGGGTCAGTAATTCAGTCTTGGTAGCTGTAATTCGCATGTAGCTAGACAACCCCATGCACAGAGTCACAGTTTCATTGATTACCAAAACAAAGATATTTTCAATTGCTTGTTGAACTCTTATCTTTCAAAAATCAACAAATGGTCTGGTATAGACTAACAAAACATGTAGCTGGTATCATGAGCTTTCGTGGGCACAGCCCGCTTCTTTGGCTATGCCCACGAAAACTAATGATACCATCTACATGTTTTGTTAATCGATAAAGTGCTACCAGACCATTTGTTGTTTTTCCTGTACAGACTAACTCAGCTACCCTCTGAAGCGTCTTATCTTTCAGACATTTCTGCTTCAGTCAGTCTGAGTAGAGTGAAAAGTCCGAGACCATGAATAGAACTTGATTTTTAAAACAAGTGCCAACATTTTCTTTTTTTTCCTTTTAAGGGAAAACGATTGTCACTCGCTGCTCCATTGGTATTGATCTCAGTTTTGTGGTTTGGGGGTGAAATCTCTCTCTCGGCCCTCACAGAATACAAGTCCCACGAAGTGAAACAGAGGCTGTGGGTGGGGCCTGAATTTCACCCTTAATGAAATTTCACCCCTACAAGCTAATCAGAAGAACTACACAGTCTTGTAAATCCTAGAGCTAAGAAAAAGCAAAGAGTTAAATTACACGAGTCAGACGTTATCCATTACATTAATGAAGACTTTTTAAGGGTGACCTTTAGAGAAATGTGAGGGTTTCAAACCTAGTTGATTTCTTCCTCCTTAACAGCTGAAACTGTTTATAGGCACCAGACAGTATTCTCTTCTGAGATCTGCAAGGTGCACACTTTGCCTCTAGAATGATGGGCTCTCCAGCATGTGGGGTGAGGGGATACTCTCATATCTACTAAATGCCCTGTATGCGGCACCCTTCACTCTGGCTCTTCTCTGCACATTGAGGGGAGAGTTGAGGGCTTTGTTTTAAATGCCCGGCAGGATCAGAAACTTGTATGCCGGGGGCCGTACCTCTCAGGGCTGTATGCTAAGGGTGACGGGGAACAAACTGCTGAAATTTGACCATATTTGATTATCGAGTCTTTTTGACAGCTTCCCAGTTACACAAAGAGATCTATAATGGAGGCCACACACACACCAGTATGGCAGAGAGAGACGTTGATGGTTCCCTCCTCAGCCTCCCCTCCTCCCTATACGGCAACTTCTTCCAATTTTACACTGGCTTCCGAATCTAACTTTTAAATAACCCCTCAGAAGGTTTTATCCCCCTGTGTCTCGCTAGTTGGATTGTTTAGCTGTTTGTTCTAATGCTCACCTGCGTTCTTCTAGAAGTTTCTAAACTGGTCAAGATTCAGATCAGTGCTGTGGGAAATCAGTTCACTGGAATGGTTAATATGTCGTTTAATTTGTCTAGCAGATGATGTGCAATTTATATTTCCTTCACCCTTTACAAACTAGTAATTATACAGAGATAAAAAACCAGAAGAAACCTGTTTTATGATGGCAGGCAGTGTTTTAAAATATTGTATTAAAGTTTTATTTGAAACATTTCTCACTTACATAAAGTATTCTAAACAAACGATAAACACATACCTAATTACAAACAGTACACAGCATGTGGCATGACAAATGGACCTGGAATACATTTCTCCTCCACTGTCACAAATCAACAGCTTGGGGATGTATCATTGCTTACAATAAACCCAATTCCTTAAGTTTAGCCTCTCTAATATTAATTTTCAATAGCATGGACTATAATCTGACTTCATGTGTACCAGCGTAAATTGGAATGAACACAGATGTAGTAAGTTTTAAGGTCAGTAGCTATTATTATCATTTAGTCTGACCTGCTGTATAACTGGGCCATATATTTTCACCCAACTTGTGGTTGAGCGAGAATATATATTTAATAGGTCAGTAGTCAAAGGCCAACATAGGTTTTGTAAATCCATATTTAGGCACAAATATGGATTTAGATGAATAATTGCAGACACCCCAGAGGGTGAAATATTGGCCTGACTTGCACTTTACACTGGGGTAATTGGGACCAGAATTTTCTTCACGTCACTTGTTTTTTACTGGTGTGTAGTTACCATCTTAATACTTGTCACTCAGTAGTAGGGCTGTCAGTTAATCACCGTTCACTCATCCAGTTAACTCAAAAATAATCACAATTTAAAAAAAATAAATTGTGATTAATCACAGTTTTAATTGCACTGCTTAACAATAGAATACTAGTTGAAATGTATTGTATATTTTGGATGTTTTTCAATATTTTTTATTACAGCACACTCTACAAAGTGTACAGTGCTCACTTTATATTATTTTTATTTCTAATATTTAAACTGTAAAAATGATAAAAAGAAATAGTATTTTTCAATTTACTTCATACAAGTACTGAAGTGTGATTTTGTCATCATGAAAGTGCAATATATAAATTGTTACATAACTATACTCAAAAACAAAACAGTGTAAAACTTTCGAGCCTGCAGTCCACTCAGTCCTATTTCATGTTCAGCCAGTCACTAAGAAAAACAAGTTTGAGAACAGGTGTTCACATGGCACTTTTGTAACAGGCATTGCAGGTATTTACATGCCCGATATACTAAATACTTGTATGCCCGTTTGTGCTTTGACTCCATTTCAGAGGACATATTTCCATGTTGAGGGTGGGGTTTTTTTTAAGTATAATTAAAATTATGACTGGATTCCTTGAAGGAGAATTGTTTTTCTCCTGCTTTGTGTTTTACCCACATTCTGCTATATAGTTCATGTTACAATGATCTCAGATGATGATCCAACACATGTTGTTCATTTTAAGAACACTTTCGCAGCAAATTTGACAAAACGCAAAGAAGGTACCAATGTGAGATTTCTAAAGATAATTACAGAACTTAACGTAAGATTTAAAAATCTGAAGTTGCTTTCCAAAATCTGAGTGGCAAGGTGTGGAACGTGCTTTCAGATGTCTTAAAAGAGCAACACTCTGATGTGGAAATTACAGAACTTGAACCACCAAAAAAAAAAAAGAAAATCGATTCTGCTGGTGGCATCTGAGACAGATGACGAAAATGAATACGCGTTGGTCCATGCAGCTTTGGATTGTTATCGATATGCGTTGGTCCATGCAGCTTTGGATTGTTATCGAGCAGAACCCATTAGCAATATGGACATGTGTCCTCTGGAATAGTGGTTGAAGCATAAAGGAATCTTTAGTGGATCTGGCATAAAAATTTTGCGATACAGGGTGGACAATGCCATGTGAATGCCTGTTTTCACCTTCAGAGGATGTTATAAACAAGAGACAGGTAGCATTATTTATTTCCAGCAAATGTAAACAAACTTGTTTGCCTTAATCGACAAGAGTTAGGACAGAGTGGACTTGTAGACTTTAAAGTTTTACCTGGTTTTATTTTTGAATTTGGTTTTTGACCATAATTCTACATTTATAATTTCACCTTTCATGATAAAGAGGTTGCACTCCCCTACTTGTATTAGGGGCACTGAAAAATACTATTTCTTTTGTTTGAGACGATGCAAATATTTGTAATTAAACATGAAATGTAAAGTGAACGCTGTACACTTTGTATTCCGTGTTGTAATTGAGATCAAAATATTTGAAAGGGAAGAAAACATCCAAAAATATTTAAATAAATTATATTTATTAGAGCACAGTTAATTATGATTAATTTTTAATTGCTTGACAACCCTATCTAGCAAGAGTTTGAAATTTTTATATGCTTTTAATTTATGAGAAGTTGTTTAGCAGAATAACTGCATTTTTCAGCTTCTGAAGCCACATAATAATTATCCTTCTTTATTTCTCAGCTAACACAACTCGAATATTCGAGGGGACCAGAATTGTTAAAACAGGAGTGGTAAGTAGTGGGTATAAATCATTGCCAAAAATTTTAAAGCAGTCGTAAATTGAGCCGTCATACCCACCAGGTGGCAGCATAATGTTGTAAATCTACTGCCATCATTTGGGAGGGTGTTATTTTATTTAAATCCTGAACAAAAGCTTTAATAGCCTGTTTCACACATGGAATAGCTTTATAGCTCCATGATTCTATAAGCTTTCTTTGCAGAGAAAATGGTAGAGAAAATAGACAAATCCTAATGAGGACTGAGAAGATGCTTAATTTCTTTTAATAACTAAATGAACAGAGGTTCATGCAGAAGGTACAAGACAATGGTTTGGCATATGGCATCTGCCGTCTTCCAATGCTGTGGAAATATATACTTGTGTGTATATTAGGCCTTAGCAAATTATGTATTTTAATCCTTTATTTCATGTTCCTTAGGGCTGTAAGTATTAACTAAGGTGAACTTTGAACAGCTCTTCTAAATTAATAGTCCAAAAACCCAGTGCAATAAGCGAATATATTTTACACCACTAATGAATGCCCCGTTTTAGTTATTGAAAGAACATAGTTATGTACAGTGTGGTATTGTCAATCAAATATACAGAATGAATTCATATTAGAGAACTTAAGCTGCTAAGTACTTTATGTCTGGTTTCACTCAGTCCCATTTTCATAGAACACTAGAACTGGAAAGAACCTCGAAAGTCCAGTCCCCTGCCCTCACGACAGGACCAAGTACCATCTAGATGATCCCTAATAAATGTTTTGAGTGGTAACACCCCGGTAACACCGACCTCAGAAAAGAATGTTTAACAATAGATGTTTTGAATGGTAACACCCCGGTAACACCGACCTCAGAAAAGAATGTTTAACATTTTTCACTGATAATGGAGAAATGTACTAAATATACAATTCTTCAGCCCAGCTCTGAGGCTAAGAGCAAATGCCAGAGAAAAGCAAATTTCTCAAAGCTATAGAGGTTCCAATTGATTAGCGTCCTGAAGTTCAGAGGCTTATTTAAAGTTTGAACTCGAGATCTCGGAAGAACAGGCTCTCTCTTGAGCTCTCCGGTGCTTTGTGGTGGCAGCTGGGTGAGAAATAACATGAGAGCAGCCTTTCTTGGTTTGCTGCAGCATTTCGACTTCCTGGCTTTGGCTGAAACCAGGAATGGGGGGCGGGGAGAGGCGCGGGTGCAGAAGCAGCATGTCTAAATTTACTGAGGGTTTTAGAATTCGAAAAATGTTTGGGGTTATAGAGACGTTAGGGCATGGGCGAAGATCCTTGTTATCCTTGTTTGCTGTCCCTCATAAATACATTTGCAGCCTCTCACCCCCACTTTATTTTTGTGGCTTGAAGTGGGAAGGCAAAGCAGAAGTGCAGCATGCTGGAGTAGCCTGCGCACAGGACTAAATTCTAATCCCAGCTCCTTGTTCCGTGTCCTTGGAGAAATCAGTGAACTTTGGTGCCTTTAGGATGATAACTATAGGCACCGTACCAGCTAAAGTTATCGAATGGGTTTCGGGTGTAAAGCCAGTGTTTATTCTGGCGAGATCGGGCGTGTAGGAAGTTGATGGTTTTAGGGCTGCTGATCACCTTGTAGTCCAGCCCGAGTAGCTGCTACTCTGGGACACAGTTCGGCCCCCGCCTCTCCCAGCTGCATTGGGAAAATACACTGGCCCAGCCCTTTTCCTGGTACAGCTAGCTCCCGCCTCCTGGTGAGTTGTGGGGGCAAAGTGAGCTGGGCAGGATGGGTAGAAACAACTTGTGCTGATAACAACAAAGGGCTGGCAGGGATGGTCACTAGTTCGGGGCCACAAGGAGGCCCCATATGCCTCGTACTGAGCTGAGATCTTTCCAGACTGTGCCATGGTGCCAAACCCTAGTAGAGGAATGCCAACCTGAGCAGGGTAAATAGCAAAATTAGGAAAGAAGGAAGCCCTGCTCCTGCAATCGGATCCTTATGGAAGGACCACAGGGCTCTTTATGCCCCGTGTTTGGATCTGATTACAGGAACCGGGCCATTATTACAAAATTAGGGGCATTATAGTAGTGGCTGCCACACAGCTTTTATTTCAAAGTAAAATGAATGTGATAGGACATTTTAAAGGTTTTTTTTTAGTGGGCAGTTTAGAGAACTAATCTATTGAGACTCATTAAACTTGTTAAAAAAAAAAAAAAAAGCTCCTTCCCCCACCTGACAGGAAATGTCCTTCAGGAGTTGCTATGGAAGGGGCGAGGCAGAGTACAAAACGAAGCTCAGAGTAATGAGCGATGACTCTCGTTATTGATGGGAAGTGGCAAATGCAGGCACGGCATAGGTGTGACGGCTGTTGGTGTACACATAACTTGAGCTAACTACAGTAAAACCTCTGTTATCTGGCACACTCGGGGATTAGGGCGTTCCGGTTATCTAAAAATTCCAGTTATCTGAGGGTTCCGTCAACCTAGGAAAAACCAATGGACAATAATAGAAAAACTAGAGTTTTTAATATTGGTGGTTTTGTAGCGTGAGGCAGTTGGTCTCATATTTCTATTTTGAATTAAAGATGATTAGTGCTTCTTAAATAAAAAATTGTGAAGCCAATCATGGTAGACCAAGCCAGGCCCGTGCACCTGAAGATGTGACAGTTTTGTGGCTGGGGGCAATGCCGGTTAACAAAGTTTTCTGGTTAACAGAGTGCCGGATAGCAAAGGGTTCACTGTAGATTAAAGCGAGCGTGAGGCACAATAGCAGTGAAGCCGTGGCACGAGGCCTTCCAATAGCAATTCTGGACCCAGGGAGGAAGTCAGTACCCCCCCCTCCCCCCAAGCCACGTCCACATGACATTTGGGTGGTGCTGCGCCTGCACTGGCTGGTGCCCAGTAAGCTACCGGCTGCACTGCCAGGTACACCCTTTCGGCCTGGCCAGAGCCTCCATGTGCCTGCTCAGCAACCTTCACCGCTGCCAGTACCACCCCATATGCACCTAGGAGCTCTGAGACCTGCCCAGGCCATTGGAAAAGGCCCCAGGGCTTCTGGCCACTGCTACCACGGCAGTGGTGGTGGCGGCTCAGGGCCCGTGGGGCCTTTTAAATCACCTGGACCCCGGGAAATGGTTCTCTGGGCAATTACCTCCTTCCCCTCCTCCCTCCACTTGGCAGGCCGGCCTGGCATGGGTCCGCCTGGCACCTGCTACGTCAAAGCTCCCTCGAGTACGTGTACGTGTTCTGTGATCGCACCTGAACGCATTGCAGGCCTAATCTGTGTCCTTTGCCGTATGACTCGTCAATGTTTGTGTTGGTGAAGTTTCTGGGGAGATTTGACTCCAGTGTGTCTAAATATCCTTGTCTCGTTTTGAACAGAATAATGGTCAGACTGGAGTGTTTGGAAAGAAAAAGAAAACAAAAGGAAAAAAGAGCCGAGGTAGCATATCAGGTACCCCTACTGACGCTCTCTCTGGTGTGTTTTCTTCCCTTGTCCCTTCTGGTGGTCACTTCAAGCCTACAGCTTCTCCTGCTTCTTCTGCTGACATGGCTCCCATCAGTTCTGGATCTTCTACTTGGACTTCTTCTGGCCTTCCTTTCTCCTTTGTTTCCATGGCAACTGGAATGGGGCCTTCCTCCAGTGGCAGCCAAGCAACAGTGGCCTCCGTGGTGACCAGCACATTGCTTGCCGGCCTTGGGTTTAGTGGTGGTGGTATTTCCTCCTTTCCTAGCACTGTGTGGCCGACCCGTCTTCCTACTGCTGCTTCCACCAGCAAACAGTCGGTCAGGCCGGTGCTCACTACTCCTGAGGCTTTATCTTCTCCAGGACCGGACAGTGATTCCGCTCCGACGAAAGACAATGAGGGAGCGGAGGAAGGAGAGAAGGATGAGAAGAGCGAAAGCGAGGATGGCGAAAGGGAGCACGAAGAAGAGGGGGAGAAAGATTCGGAAAAGAAAGAGAAGAGCGCAGTGACGGAGGCCGCTGAGGTACAAAATGACACGGAGCCCACGCTAACGACCATTCCCCCTAACAGAACTGTGGAGGAGGAAGGAAATAGAACCATACCTGCTCAAGAGGAAACCCAAAACGTTTCCTCCACAGCTCAGAGTTCTGACGAAGAGAGGATTACTGAACCAGACACTCAGCCCCAACCTGTCCCCTCCACCCAAGCACCACCAGCATTCACAAAGGAACAGTACGTCGAGAAAATCCCAAAGGGACCAGAGACAACATCAAGAAAAGCTTTTCCTGGTGACCGCAGGTTTCCAGAGGAAAATCCATCAGATAACAGATTCATCACCATTAACCCCGGTGAGTGATCTTGGGGAGGGGTGGGGTGGAGCTGCATTTACCACCTTATTTCAGAATCTGTTGAAGTTTTAGAGACCAGAGTCCTCTCTGATTGGACCCCTGCCCCTCCTTTATCCCATTAGCAGCAATAAGGTAAATTGGTGCAGGACTCAGCCCATAAATGCTGTTCGAACTCTGGGGGGGGGGGTATTGTGTTAGGAAATTACCCAGCCAGCAATTCAAAATGTGTGCTTCTAGCTGGAAAATGAAGTTTGGCAAGAAATTAGTCTCCAGTATGGTTGGCTGCTTGAGGAGTTTTGTTGTTAGAAATTAATATAGCTCACTCTAAATGTGACGTTCTCTTTGAACAACGGCCTCTGTGTCGTAGGCATCGGTTTTTCATACGAAGTTTGTGGCAGAGGTGTAAAGTTATTTGTGCATAAGGCTTTCACAGCTGATCTCCAGTGTATCTGGATGGCTTCTTTCTCACCACACAGGCCTCTGTCCTGACGATGGATTCGTATAGATCAAGGGTGGGCAAGATACTGCCCACGGGCCGTATGTGGCCCGCCAAACCATTTGATCCAGCCTGCGGCTCACCCTGCCACTCTGCCACCCCCAGGCCAATTGAGACCAGAGGGAGCCGCCAGCCATTTTTGAACAGCGAATGACTTCGTGCACTCCCCTGCCCCCAGGCCCTGTTTGGCCTTCGGGGTCGGGGAGCACGCAAAGTCTCCTCCCCCTCTAGGAGTGGGGAGGGGGCACCAAGAGGGAACTGCCCTTTTTGCCTGAGGCCCTGCTCCTTCCACATGAGGCCCTGCCCACAACCACATACTAAAATTCGTTAAGTGGCCCCCGTACAAAAATTATTGCCTACCTCAATATAGATACTCCTTTGCATTTGACAGAATCCATGGACGTTAAAGGGATTCTGCACAGGCAGTCTCACATGGATCCAATTACTGGGTTTACCTGGGTGATGTTTGGTTGGTTGGTTGGTTAGTTTGTTTGTTAAAAAAAATCACTTCATTTTGCAGAACTGTACTATGTTGAATAATTTTGTTTTTCCATCAAGGCTGGTGTGGACTTAGAATACCGTGACAAAGCCTCTTAAATATTTATTTCTTTTTTACAGTCATAAAGATTAAAATTCAGACCTTTTCTGCTAAGTTACAGCTCAGAATCAATTTTCACGGCCAAATTTCTAAAAATCACCCCCCTCCACTCTTAATGATGTTTGCGATAGAAATGCTGACCCAACTCAAATGCTGCCACTCAGAACTGTTCTGCAAGAAAACAGATTAACAGCAGTGGAGCAGTCGTGCTCTAACCCCAGTTTTGCTGACATTCTTTATGCCGACGCTGCTGATTTTGTAGCTTGCTTGCTTCTGCTCCGTGGTCTCACTTGATGGTTTTCTTCAAAGTCAGCTCTTCCCACCATGCATGTGTAAAACGCTTGGTAGGCAGCCGGCAAGACCCAGTTAGCCAGGCCTGCTTTTTGTCAGGGATGAGTCTGTGTGCTCTGGCTACTTTTTCCTGTGCAGTGTCCGAGAGTAAGGCCGTAAGAATTGGACATAGTGGAAATTCAGTTTGAATCCAAGTAGCTTGCTCTGTGAAGGCAAATCTGCCTCTTGAACAGAGGCATTGGGTTCTTCTCTCCCTCTGCTGAGCAGTACCTAATGTTCTGGTTTCCTTGGCTGTCCACATTTCATGTCCTTTGTGCAAGCTCTAGCAAAGCGACTGATGGCTTACTGCCAGTGTAATGTAAATGAGAGAGGAAATGGACAGATGGCTCCGATGTCCATCAGAGGACATATGGTTTGTTATCACATCAATTTTTCTGGGGTGTGAGTAAAGGAGGGGGGTTAAGAAAAGAAGGGACCCATTGCGGAGTGTGAGGAAGGTGAGAAAACGCTAATGCGCAGCCATATTTTATTATGGATGGGACTCACTAGTCTGACATGGCTTGCTCCCGCTCTGTCTGACACATGGAGAGCCCATATGCCTTGAGCAATCTCTGGAGGGAGCAGAGGAAGGAAGATCAGGTGTAGTCCCGGGAGTCCAGCATGGCTTGTTGCTAGTCAGTTATCAGGTCTGTGGGCACTGTTCACTTGGAGGTTGGCTGTGGGCTTTCTGGAAAGACAGAACATGGAATGGATCATCCTGGAAACCTAACAAGAGGACAGTCACCCTATACAAGTCACAACCAATATGGTGCTAGGTTTTTCCATGCTGGACTGAGGGACGTGACATATTTGGATCAGCTGTGGTCTTCATGTTCTGGCTCAGGCTATCTCAAGACAGGCGATAAGGAGAGGTTTGTAAGTCAGACCTTAGATCCAGAGTCTCCAGACCAAGTTGTGAGTGACAACGTTTTCTGACATCTGCTGCAATTGAGTCTCTGGTGGCATCACATACAAATTAGTCAACCTGTGGAACTCCTTGCCAGAGGATGTTGTGAAGGTCAGGACTTTAACAGGGTTCAAAAAAGAACTAGATAAATTCATAGAGGGTAGGTTCATCAATGGCTACTAACCAGGATAGGTAGGAATGGTGTCCCTAGCCTGTTTGTTAGAAGCTGGGAATGGGCAACAGAGGATGGATCATTTCATGATTACCTGTTCTGTTCACTCCCCTTTGGCCACTGTTGGAAAACAGGATACTGGGCTTAGATAGACCTTTGGTCTGACCCAGTATGGCCACTCTTGTGTTCAAAAACAAGCCTCTTTTCAGCTTCGTAAATGGATGGTGTTAAGCTCCTAGATTCTTGAATCTGCAGAAGAGGAAGTGGAAGATGAACCTTAAGGGACATGCAGAGACCTTTTCTAAGGTAGAGTCCTCTTTTGTGTCCCTGGGCTCTCAGGGGAGAAATGTTAGACTCTGAGGATATGGCTAGACTGCAGGGGTGGAGGGGTTCGGGATACCTCCAGTATCCTGAAAAAAAACTGCCGCGTCCAGGGAACACGTTTGCTCTTCTGTTTTTTTGCAGAAGAGCAAACACATCTTTCAGAAGTACCTGTAGTCCTCATTCTACAAGGAAAAAGGGGGTGTTTGAAAGGGGGGGTTCCGACATTTGGCCCAGTCTAGACGGGCCAAATGTCAGAAAAGCCTCTTCCAACAAAAATCAGAAAAAGCTATGCAAAATGCGGAGCCTTTTCCGACAAACAGATCTACTCTAGATGTACTCTAATAGACCAGAGGATTTCTCCAAACATAGTGACCATTGAATCAGTCTTTAGGAAGGACCAAGGCTTTTTTGCTGTGCCAGAGTTTTTCAGTGCTTGTTATAGCTCTGAAGGATGGAGGACTTAGACTCTGGATCCCTTTACATATCTTTGTGTCTTGGCTGAGAGGAAAAGCCTTGTCCTTCAGTGTCTCCTCAGTGAAGTCTTTCATGTCATCATGTGAATCTTGGGTCCAGTGGCCCCCTTCAAGGACTGCAGAGACCCCTGCTTGCTGAGAAGGGCAAGTTCCCCAGGAATTTGTTTACTATACTCAGATCGTTGAAATTGAAATGTCTGAGGAGACCTGGTTCTTTCAAACCAGCAGAGGAAACCACGAGAGCTCCCCTTCCTCTCGGGAAGAGATTCTGCATCTTTGGAAGCTTTTTTTAATCCTGTTTTGCACATAGATCACGTGGGCTGTTTAGGTGAGGAATGGGAGGGTTAGAGGATGGAAAGGCAGTGACCAGCTGTGGATGAGGGAAGAAGGGTAACTAAGAGAGTGGGAAGGACCCAGACCACCCTGCCCTACCATGAAAGAACCTTGGAGAAATCCCTTCCAGGAAACTTTCTTGTGCTCCCTTGGGGAGAGGAGGGGAGAACCCTTTGGCAACTTAGGCCCCTCTTAGCTAAGCCCTGAGAACAGGGGTAAGCAATAAGTGGCCCACGGGCTGGACATGGCTTGTTAGGGGTAATCCCTGGAGGGTTGCCAGACCTTTTATTAACCTGAGCAGCAGCTGCGAGTGGCCGTGTCTGTGGACGCTCAGGTAAATAAAGCATTTGGCAGCCTGCCGGGGTAACCCTGATGAACCACATCCGGCCTGAGAGGACAGTTCCCTGGTACTCCTGTGGGGGAAGCGTGGAAGATTGGGAGTTACAGCATCCCTCAGCCTCAGGGTGGGGAACGCTCTAATGAACTGTCCTGAGGCGTGTACTAGTCCCTGTGCACGAATGAAGGGTTTGCCAAGATCAAGAGTCTAAGTAAGGTAATTTTAGGGCGACGGAGTAGTGTTTTGGTGGTGAGGGCCGGGGATTGGACTTGATGGCCTCTCGAGGTCCCTTCCAGTTCTAGTGTTCTATGAAAGCTGGATATGGGTCAACAGGGCGCCCTTGTAGCCAAGAAGGCTAATGGCATATATAGGGTGCATTAGAAGAAGCATTGCCAGCAGATCTTGGGAAGTGATTATTTCCCTTCATTCAGCACTGGTGAGGCCACATCTGAAGTATTACATCCAATTCTGGGGGGCCCATTACAGAAAGGATGTGAATGTATTGAGAGAGTCCAGCAAAAGGCAATAAAAATGATTAGGGGGCTGGAGCACATGACCTACAATGAGAGGCTAACAGATTTGGGTTTATTTAGTCTACAGAAGAGAAGAATGAGGGGGGATTTGATAACAGCCTTCAACTTCCTGAAGGGAGGTTCCAAAGAGGATGGAGAGAGGCTGTTCTCAGTGGTGACAGGTGGCAGAACGAGGAGCAATGGGCTCAAGTTGCACTGGGGGAGATCTAGGTTGGACATTAGGAAAAACTGTTTTAGTTGGAGGGTGGTGAAGCACTGGGATGGGTTCCCTAGGGAGGGGGTGGAATCTCCATCCCTAGAGTTTTTGAAGTCCCGGTTTGACCCAGCCCTGGCTGGGATAATTTAGTTGGGGTTGGTCCCGCTATGGGTAGGAGGTTGGACTCGATGACTCCTGAGATCTTTTCCAGCCCTAGGATTCTGTGAAAGGTGGAAGCTGAGTGCTCTGATGCTTTGGGTTTCCACACCACAGAATCCTTAGAGCATTGCTCTTCCCTTGC